TAGTAGTTGGGATTGGGGCCTGCCCCTCAGACCTCTCCACTGGTTCCCTACTTTACCCCGGCATGTGAAAAGCAATCCTTTTTTAACACTTCCTCTGGCAAAGCATTGTATTAGGTTCCTTGCAAATTTTTTCTTTGTGTAGAAAAATGCAACTAAAGATAATAGAATTTTTCCATGACCTTCTTGACATCCCCTACTATGTTTATACAGTAGTTTTGTGTCATAAAATTGGAATCATACCTATAGTTGTTTATTTTTTCCATTTAGTCCAAGTATTTTTAACTAACTAAAAACTCACTGCCATCAAGGCAAATCTGACTCACTGACCCTGTAGAACTGAGCAGAACTCTACAAAGCTTCCAAGGCTGTTGATCTGTATGGGAGAGTGTTTCTCCCACGGGTCAGTTGGTGAATTCAAACCAACAACCTGGTGGCGGTTAACAGACCAAAGTGGAGCCAACTATACCACCAGAAGTCTTAAGTACGTTTAAGTGTCATTAAATATTGTGAAGTGTAATTTTTTTTTTTTGAAGTGTAATTTTTAAAAGGCAGATTTTTACTCTTCCAACAAGGAGCTATGGTGACACAGTTAACCACTTGGCTGCTGACAGAGAGATCTATGGGAGTATGATGTGGGGAGTCAGTTACTGTAAAGATTACAACCTTGGAAACCCTATTTTTTAAAATCAATGGCTATAGAAATTATTGTAATTTCTGTTGACCCTATATGGGTTTTCCAGACTGTAAATCTTTATGGTAGCATAGAGCCCCTCATCATTCTTTGCCAGAGCAGTTGGTTGGTTTGAACCATTGAATTTTCATTTGGTTGGAAGCCCAATGCTTATTCCACAGTGCCACTAGGACTCCTTTGAACATCACACTAGCTCTTCTACTCTGTTCATAAGGAGCCTCCTTGAAACAGAGCCCACTCAGTAGCTCCTAAGAACAACCATAGGGAGCAGTTCTGCTGGGTGAGAATTATTGCCACGAGTAAAAATCAATTTGAGGGCAACAGTTAGGCTTTTGATTCAAACATCTTTTTATTCCATTTTCTATGAATCTTGGAAGCCCCCTCATATGCCAGTACCAGGTGCTGGCATGTGAATTCATGGCAGCTCCATAAGGTTTTCAATAGCTGGCTTT